CGGTATTTCTTTATCGTTGGATTTAATTGAAAATAAACGGTGGAGCATATATTAAAACGCTTCATTCTACCAAAAATTCTACAATCGGTGCAATGTATCGTATTATTATTATTATCCCACTTTCGAAAAACGACATTTATAAGCCTATATATATCTATATAATTCAGGTGCCAATGTTCGAGAAAATGGACGATCAACTATTGGATGCAATGTGCGACTGTCTAAAACCTGTTCTCTACACAGACGACAGCTACGTAGTACGCGAGGGTGATCCAGTGGACGAGATGCTTTTCATCATGCGTGGCAAATTATTAACCGTGACCACAAACGGTGGTCGAACCGGTTTCTTCAATTCCGAATATCTAAAAGCTGGCGATTTTTGCGGCGAAGAGCTTCTAACTTGGGCTTTGGATCCTAATTCATCTTCCAACCTTCCGATTTCGACGAGAACAGTTCAGGCCTTATCGGAAGTGGAGGCGTTTGCTTTAATGGCGGACGATTTGAAGTTTGTGACGTCGCAGTTCAGGCGGATGCACAGCAAGCAGCTCCGGCATACTTTTAGGTTCTATTCGCAGCAGTGGAGGACTTGGGCAGCTTGCTTTGTGCAGGCGGCGTGGAGGCGGTACGCGAGGAAGAAGCTGGAGGAGTCGCTCCGGGCGGAGGAAGATAGGTTGCAGGATGCCCTGGCCAAGGGGGGAGGCAGCTCGCCCAGCTTGGGGGCCACTATTTATGCTTCAAGATTTGCGGCAAATGCTCTTAGGGCTTTGAGGAGGAATAGGACGAGAAAGACGAGGCTGCCGGACAGGATTTCGCCAATCCTGCTGCAGAAGCCGGCTGAGCCGGATTTCACTGCTGAAAAATAAATGATATATATATGTATTTTTAATGTGTATGTATTTATTCTTTTTGGGTAAATGTATCATATCCTTTTTTTATTTTTTATTGTTGTTTGATGGTTTAAGTATTGGGCATGTTTTGAAAATGTGCAAGGCTTGAATTGGTTTATTTCCATTCATGTCCTATACAGGATACTGAGCAATATGTATATTATTATGTTGTATGTATTGTTGTACATCATTGTTCTGATTTTGTACCTTTTTGGCAATACTAATACTCTTTAGATTTCTCTTTTGTCTAATTAAATTGTGTTTAGATTTCAGACAAACAAAATCTTCTAATGTAGCAGATAATGCGGCTCGTTTCCGTAGAACACTTCCGGTGCAACGAGCACTGTTTTCCTCTTTTCATCATCTGACGAGCAATTAAGTTTTGCCAGGCTATAATCGGACATGTTGGGGCTGAAATTTTCGCCGAGTAGAATATTCCGAGGCTCGATCCCGATATGGAATATTCGTGATTCAAATGCTTGAAGGAGGCAGCATACCTGTTATGCCGCCAAATCCCTTCGCCTCTTCTAATCTCTAAACACGAAAAGAAACGGAGTTCTTTTTTTTCAACATCTGCAGAATCTTAGACTGGGTAGTTTCTTTACACTCTAAAGAGTGAATATTTTCATTTTCAAAATTCGGTGCGACGGATATCAAGAATTCGAATATACTCAACGAAATAAGAACTACAATCAATCAAGAATTTACACTTTCTAAACTGCACTGTAAAGGACCGATAAATGGTAGAATATTATTGTCAAGTTACAAATTCCTAACGCATACTTACTCCATGATCCTCCGCTATCTCCCGTGGGGCCAAGAAAGGCTTAGGTGGCAATTCCAGTCGAGAATCACTCTCAAGCATCTCGACAACTTTGTTCATCGAAGGCCGATCAGAAGGCTTCATCTGTATGCATCACAACGCCACCACAATAATCTTCTTCACCATCTTCCTCTCTTCCTCCGTCGCGTCTTTTATCTCTATCTCCTTTCCGACGAAAAACTGTTCGTAAACCCACGACGGGAAATAAATCTGGCTCACATCATCGGCAAACGGGTTCATATTCTTCCTCCTGGCGGCCATTTCCATCAACAACATCCCGAAGCTGTAAACATCCGCCTTGTAAGAAACTCCTCCGATGTTCTTGTAAAACATCTCGGGTGCCATGTACCCCATCGTACCCCTGGCTGCAGTCAAATTTACGGCACCGCCATCGGTCGGATAGAGTTTTGCGAGCCCGAAATCGGAGATTTTCGGGTTGAAATTCTCGTCGAGCAATACGTTGTGCGGCTTGATATCGAAGTGGAGAATCTGCATGTCGCAGCCTCGGTGGAGGTAGTCGATCCCTCGGGCCATGCCGAGGGCGATTTCGTACATTTTCTCGTACTTCAACCCGCGGGCTTCGATGCCTTGCTGGCTGAAGATGTATCTGTCTAAGGATCCGTTTGGTAAGAATTCGTACACCAGAGCGCATTTCGAACCTTCTACGCAGAAACCGATGAGCTGGACGACGTTGACGTGGTGGATGAGTCCGATTGTGCCGACTTCGCTGATGAATTCTTGCTCGCTGGCGGTTGATTGGGTCATTAGTTTTACTGCTACGTGGGGCCCGCTTCGTAGCTTTCCTTTGTATACGGTTCCGAAAGCACCTTCGCCTAATCGCTGGTTGAAGTTGCTGGTCATTTTCTTGATTTGGGAGTAGGTATATTTTATCGGTGTGAGATTATTCTGACTTTGTAGGAACTCTTCGATGCTTTTGTCCGTTGACAAGTGGCGTCTTCTCCATTTGTACGCCACTATGCCGACTAGGAACGGGAATCCACACAAGAATCTCAGAGCTAGAAGTGCGCCTGCATGATCGTCGTATTATCAATTATGAGATTATTAGAGCAGCAAAGCTAATATAGAAAGTAAATAAATGTTACGAGTCTTACCGACTACAATAAAACCGTAAGCTCCGACAATAACTGCAGCAAACAAAAAACGGGGTAAGAGAAACGAGAGAAAGGTAGCAATACGGATATGGATTTTAAAAAGATTAAGTTACTCACTTCCCCACTCTTGGAATTGACCTGCATTGTTCAAGTGAAAGCAGCGTTAGCGAAAATACAGTAACCGGTGAATAAAAAAGACGACTACTTCGTAATTACACAAGGTCGACAGGCATTAATCGAAACATGGAAAGCACAATCCATCTCCCAAAAATACTCGAGAAAAAACATTAATTTAACATCGGAGCACACAAATCCGAGACAATCGAGTAACTAAAAACAGCACAACACTCACAATTAAAACCGAGCTGCGCAATAGGTGTATCCTCCCTGCAGTAATGTACGCAACTAATTACATTCCCCTCCAAGCTGCAATACCCGAAAGTCCTCTCGCATTCGCCACAAAAAACACGAAACCAAGAAAGCTCGAATCCGTAGCTCAAACCGTCGTAAACCCCGCCCAACGAAGAGTAATCAGAAACGGGCCTCCGGGCCGAAGTCTGATCCACCCGATCAACCGTGCACGACTCTTCCAAATCCGACACCATAATCCTCTCTCCAACCACAACATAACTGTAGATAACTTCCGAAGAATTCGACGAAAAAACGGTGCTCCTGTTACCGCAGAAAGCAGCCTCCACGTATCTCGGAGAACCGATCACAGGAGCCGAGCAGTGGATGAACACCACAGCCACATTCCAATCGAAGAACATGTCGAAAATGGAGGTGGGCCAGCTGTCGTAGTCGTTGAAGTAAAGTGGACAAGAGGAAGTATTTCCTGCGAATAAGGTGGGATCGACCAGCCTTATCGAGTAGTCGATGTAGTTGATTTCTTGAACGAAGTACTTTCTTGTTCTTACAGTCATAACAGTTTGATTGTTCAGACATTGAAGCTCGAAGGTGGGGTTGTTGTAACCGCAGGATCTGGGGTCGGATTTCAGCCTGAAAGGGAAGCTTATGTCTCTGATATTCCCACATGAAGAAGGTGGGCATGAGTATGAAGTGGGATTATTGTTCTGGGCTGTGGTGGTGGTTGTAACTGTAGAGAACAGCAGGAGAATCAAGATTCCTGAAACTGCAGGCAAGACTCTGTTTTTAGACATGCTTTTTAGGTTTTTTTTTTTTTCCCTAATGATGCTTTCTCACTGGATTTGATTTATATGTTCAAGTTCTTGGAATTCAGAAGAGGGGTGTTCTGAAAATGGAGAATGGTCAACTTTTTCAGTCAACTTTGGTTGGTTAATTATTTCTGAGAAGAAGATGCAAGTGGACATAATCCTAAACTTCTCTTTGAAAAGTCAAGAATCAAGATTGGAATTTTATCTGTACACAAATCCAAACACGCGCTTTTCTCTAGTCCTAAAACTTCAAACTTGGACCAAAAACAAAAACCCAGCAATATAATTTCAGCACCACCACCATTAAGTATTCTTGCACCAAAACAAAAATTCGCTGGCAAAAGAAAGTAGAAATTACTTACAAGCATGTTCATTTTCTTGATTTTCTTGATTTGCTCAGCGCAGTATCTCCAAGAACCGAGATTTGCAGCAGGGCAAGACGAATGCCTGCCGACGAGCTGCCACGCGCCGGGCCCTATTATCCGCTTCCCTTTCCGGTTAATCGGCCGGCAGCCGGAGCGCTGCGGCTATCCGGGCTTCGATCTCTCCTGCAGCTCCACAAACACCACTGAGTTCGAGTTCCAGTACCCGGTTCGGGCCTCGGCCCGCAACACCGTCCTCCCCATCTCAGCAAAAGCCACCGTCCTGGAAATCGACTACATGAACCAGGTGATCCGGGTCAGCGTCCTAAACGGGTCATGCCTCCCGAACCGGGTCCCTCAACTCAGCTCCGCCGCCGCCCCCTCCCCCTTCGAAGTGGACCTTAGGTACGATAGCAGTGGATACACACTTTTCAACTGCTCCAAATTACCCGATTCGAGAGCCGCTTCGTACCCGGTTACCTGTCTGAATCACGGGGGTTTCCGAGTTTACGCATTCGGATCTTCTTACTCGGTCACGGATTTCCCAATGTCGACCTGTCTGAAGATGTACAACATCTCCGACATCTCGCGGGTGCTTTTCGACGGTCCCGCCGAATTCTCCGTCGACGACACGTATTTGCGCTGGCCGGAACCCTCGTGCAGGACTTGCGAAGCGAGTCGAAAGTACTGTCGGTTGAAGATCAATGGAACCAACGGCGAAACCGAATGCTTCGACATACCTAAAGAACCTGATCAGACCAACGACTCGAAAAAGGTGGTTATAGCAGTTGCGGTGATCGGTGTTTTTGTAACGGCAGTAGCATTGGCCGCAATTTTATACGTCTACATCACGAAGAAGAGAAAACGGGATAACGGGAAAAGAATATCTCGATTCTTGGAGGACTACAAAGCCCTTAAGCCAACGAGGTACACTTACTCCGATATCAAGGTTATAGCCGACGGATTCAAGCATAAGCTAGGTCAAGGCGGTTACGGAACAGTGTTCAAAGGGAAGCTCTCGAACGACATTCCCGTTGCAGTTAAGATCCTAAACAACACCAAAGGAAACGGGGACGAATTCATCAACGAAGTCGCCACAATAGGCAAGATCCACCACGTGAATGTTGTGCGTTTGGTCGGATACTGCGCGGATGGGTACAGACGGGCTTTAGTGTACGAGTTCTTGGAAAACGATTCCCTCGAAAAGTACATTTCGTCGGGGAATCAAAGTAGCACGCTCGGTTGGGAGAAGCTGCACAGCGTTGCTTTGGGCGTGGCCAAAGGCATCGACTATTTGCACCAAGGGTGCAACCAAAGAATCCTCCATTTCGATATCAAGCCGCACAACATCTTGCTCGACCACAACCTCAGCCCGAAAGTCGCCGATTTCGGCCTCGCGAAATTGTGTTCGAAAGAACAGAGTGTGGTGACTATGACCGGTGCACGAGGTACGATAGGCTACATTGCGCCCGAGGTTTTCTCGAGGAATTTTGGGAAGGTTTCGTACAAGTCGGATATTTACAGCTTCGGGATGTTGCTGCTAGATATGGTCGGTGGGAGGAAGAGTTTCGACGCGGGAGTGCAAGAAGACAGCAGCGACGAGATTTACTTTCCGGAATGGATGTACAATAAGCTGGATAAAGGGGAAGATATAGCGATCGAGATCGAGAAAGAGGGCGAAAGCGAGATAGCAAAGAGGCTGATAATCGTGGGGCTTTGGTGTATTCAGTGGTACCCCGTCGATAGGCCGTCTACGAAAGTCGTGATTCAGATGCTCGAAGGGGAGAATATGCCCGTTATGCCCCCGAACCCTTTTGCTGCTTCGAAACCTGCAAACGCAAATTCGACCGCAAGTACCGGGAGCTTATATCACAGTGTCGAAACTAGTTTAGGTAGTAACTGAGTGTATGTATATCTGCTTATTACACCACCAAGATTTTTACACAGCAAAAGAGTTATGTTCTAGAAATTACCAATTTATGCGAAAAAAAAAAAGAAACAAGAATCAAGAAACTTGTGGTGTAAGATTAGGTGAAGAGGGTTTCGGTGAGTTTCTACAAACGGGGCACGACGGGTTTAACCGGAGCCACTCGTCTATGCATTCTGCATGGAAGCAATGGTGGCAATCTGGTATACTTCTCAGTGTTTCCTTAGGCGCATATTCGGACAAGCATATCGAGCAAATGTAGTCTTCGGGCTTAGGCAGCCTACGGCTCTCGCCGAGGATTGTTTTCGGGTAGGACTCTATGGTTGCTCCGTCCAAGCCGGAGATGGCGGCGGCGGTGGCGGTGGTGGTGGTGGGATGGTGGCCCACCGCCACTGAGAAGTCCATTACGAGGTGGTGCCGCCTGTGGTTCGGTAATCGGCTGCAAACGAAGGCGACGAGTCCGACGAGGCAGAGTAGTGCCGGTACACCTACACCCAAAACGATGGCGTATCTTGCACTTCTTGGCAGCTCTGGAGGAAGTTCAATTTATAGTTTTGTTAGGAACATGTCAAATTTATTTATCATATAGTAAAACAATGTTTTTTCAAATTCACTATTACTATAAAGATATTTAAAAAAAAAAAAACCTATGTTGATTTACATTTTTAAGTAATATTATTGTTTATTTTGAGTTCATATATTTATTTTCTAGCTAGATATTAAAAATGTTTTTTTTTGCTTTTCAAAATGAATAATTTATGGCTATACTAAATCACTTAAATCTCTATAAATTAATAGAGTCGGGACTAGCAAAATTCTATTAACTCAACGAAATATTAAATTATCAAACTAATAATTTAGTAGAGTTTTTACCGAGTCGGGACAGAAGAAACTATTATTTAAGCGAGGTTATTAATTTATCGAGGTTCTAACTTACCATGGCGAGCAGCGTCTCTGCACTCAATCACACTACTGTTCGCACTTCCATACCCGCACCGCCCGCCGCGCGACTCGCACCGCCCGCAGCGCGGCGAAGCCCAACCGAGCAGGATATCATCTCCGAGATCCGACGTTTCGATCGGCTCAAAAAAACCCCACTGCACCGGCACCGCCACAGACGCCACCCAACTGCACCTCGATGCCAAGAATCTAACGGCTCTTTCCGAAGAAGAAGCCAGCACCGTGTAATTCTCCCCACTCAAACAACCAATGGGGTTGAACCCGTACTTCCTATAATCGAACGTGCAATTAAAAAAATCGAATGATTGGGAGAAAGCCTTGTTGAATGGGGTGCCGGAGAGGTTCAAATTGAGGAGGCGTCTCGGGAGGCAGCCGCCGGGGTCGTTCAGCCATATGTTCTGGGCGGCGTAGTCGACGGCCTGGACGGTGAAATTGCCGGAGTTGGGGAGACTGATAAGTGTTTGATTAAATGCCCCACAGAAGAGGTTGAAGCCTTTGTAGCCACACGAGCTTGGCTGGAGGTTTTGGAGGCGGAAAGGGAAGCGGATTATGGGTTCTGTACGGCGGCAGAAGGCGTTGGAACAAAGCTCCGATGCTGAAGCTAATGCCGATAAGAAGATGATCAAGAAAATGAAGCACATGGGTTTAGAGAGAGAAACCTTTTCAGACATGGGAAATTGGGTTGTGATTGATTTCAGACAATGATTGTATGGAAGCTTTTGGATTGTACAAAAATGGTGGCAATTTGGGCAAGTCAACTAATGGAGCCATATATATAGATATATATATATATATAGGTGATAGAGTGTGGAGTGGGATATTTTTATTAAGTTTTTTGGTAGATGTTTGGTTTACTTTTTTTGTAATTTCTTGTTAGTTATTAACTTATTATATTAAATTGGAGTAGAAATTCCAAAATATAATGTACTAAAAAAATGTATTAATGCATTGAACAACTTGTGATGGGAGATATTGGGGATGTTTGTTTCTATTTCCAAAATGGATTTCCAGTTTTATACTATTCATAAAACCGAGATTATGTTTGTTTGACAATTTTATCCAGAAAATCCCATTTTTCATTCTCAAATTTCTATTGGAAATTCACTATTCATACTTTTTTCAATTTTCAAACCTACTGAAACCTACTAACTAACCTATATATTTTATTCCACCAACACATTTCTCTCTCCTTCTATTCATCACTCATTAATATTTACACTCTCTCTCCTCAAATTTCTCTCTCCTCATTAATATCTACACTCTCTCTCCTCCTAATTTCTCTTTCTTCTTCTTCTAATAATAATAATAATAATAATAATAATAATAATAATAATAATAATAATAATATAATAATAATAATAATAATAATAATAATAATAATAATAATAATAATAATAATAATAATAATAATAATAATAATAATAATAATAATCATAATAATATTGTTATTAAAAATAATATTCATTGTAGAAGTAGTAATAATAATAATAATGGTAATAGCAATAATAATACTCATAAATAATAAAATAATAATACTTATAATAATATAAGAATATAAACAATAATAATAATAATAATAATAATAATAATAATAATAATAATAATAATAATAATAATAATAATAATAATAATAATCACTATCATCATCCTCAATCATTATATTCTACTTTTTCACGTACTTTCGTAGAGAAAATTCACCACAACCAAACATATTCTCATTTCTACACCTACATAAAACTAAAAATACCCCTTCATCCAAACATATTCCCATTTTCTACAGAAAAACCAATAAACTACTTTTTCCATCAGAAATTTTGAAAACTAGAAATTCCCATTGGAAACATAACCAAACATCCCCAATAATTTTGTTAAAGTTTAGGACTTACTCCCTTCCCTCCGTTCCCTATTAACTGTTTAAAATAGAGAAATGAGTTAAGAAAGTAGTGTTGGAAAGATTTAATAAGAGTATAAATTAAAAAAAAAATTAATGCAGTATTAAAAAACGAATAATTAGAATTTTTTTTTTCTTCAAAATATGGCAATTATTGGCATATATTATGGAACATTGGTGTCACTTTCAAACAATACATTTCTAACTTAAAATTAATGAGAGAAAAAATATTTGTTTAGAAGATATATTTTTATTTTGGCTAGTTTAATTTGTCAACTCTTGCCACTAGTTTGGTGTCACTCCAATATTATTTATAATGCTTGACATAAGTCCAAATAACCCAACTCAATCAATTTCTTCAATTAAAAAAAAAATCAAGAACAAAGGGCAATTCATTTCAATTACTAGCTATAAACAATATTTGTTTGACTTTGTGCAATTTTTATATATAGACTCTACAATTTATAGGGTTTTAAACAAGTCAAAATTTTAAATTATTAGTATTGTAGATTGATAAAGTCAAATAAGAAAAAAAAAATATTACAATTTGAAGATTCACTACCGACCGAATTTAACCCAAAGAGATAGAATGGAACTGGTACTTCAAAAATTTGTACCATTCACCGAACCGAACTATTTGGTTCGGTATAGTTTTTTACTGAACTAATTCGATTTTTTCGGTTCGGTAATCAGTACCGACAAAACCGATTTAATATTTTAAAAAATAACAAATAAATATATTTTAAACTAATTAATTCTTGGATTTGGCGTTCAAATTCCGATTCGCCTCTAAAAATAAATAAAAAATGATTATCAATAGACAGTTAATTTATAAATGATAATAATAAAATTTACCAATGGAAAAGTATTTATTTATTTTTTGTCAAATTTCTAACACACAGCAGAAAGGGGGAAAAAAATGAGTAGTAAATTGAGAAAACCTCAGAAATCAGAGCAGCGGCCTTTCTGCTCCCATCGCCGTAGCGAGTTGGCTCGCGCCCGCGGGGACCGCCGATTTCACCGGTCAGCTTATTCACAGAATCATCGTCGCTTTCATCATCTTCAGATTCGTGTTTCTTCTCATCTTCGACGATTTGGCTACGGATCTTCTCTTTATCTTCATCAATCGGCGAATCCTTCGTCTCCGGTTGCTGATTATGCAGGAGCTGAGTCGTCGTAGAGACGAGTCGGCGACTCGCCGCCGGGATGAAGAACTCGGATCTCGCGATCGGCGATGATAACAGACGGCACAGATTGCTCGCCATTTTGTTGTTTAATTTTACTGGAATATTCTCTCTCCTCGCTTAAACTAGAAACTCTGGAAGAATGAGAGAGAAGTGGGCAGAGAGGAAAAAGGGGAGGCGCGTGTGATTTGATTAGAACCGGAGAGGCGGCTCAGCGCAGCTTATGCGGCCAGATAAACGACAACGTGTTGGGAAGAAGAGGCAGACACGTTTGCTTCATAGTAATATTTACCCAATCGGAGAACTAGTCTCAGTTGGGCCGGCCCGGCCCATCCCCAAGCCCAAAATACTAATTTTGACATCCTAATTAAAATTAATATTATGGTTAATTGTATCTATCTACTTAGGAGTGGAATTCGAAATGAAATTTTTGAATTCCGCCAATTTTGATCCGAATTTGGAATTATATTTTCCATTTCAGAAGTTTCGATTTCTGATTCTTCTGAATTTATTTGGAACATAATTGGAATGGTAAATAAAACCACAGGAAAATTCCGATTTTCGATCTAATTTTAGTTCAAAATATTTCTATAGTTTTTCGAAATATATAATATATTTTGTAATTTGATAATATAACCTATGTCATATTTCGTGAAAATTTCCGTTATATCCGAATTTGGAACACAAGATTATAAACTAATGTGATTTCTAAAATTTCTGAAATTCCGCCGATTTCAAAGCATTCCGAAATCAAAATGAATTCTTGCATTCCATTTTTTTTGGAACGGAAACTGGAACCCAATTTTTACTTCTGGAAATAATTGATTTTTTTTTGAAAAAGTCATTTCCGATCCATTGCGTCTGATTTTCATCCCTATATCTATTGTATAGTTAGTGAAGGTGAGCTAAGAACCCTAACATCATATATACAAGAATGGAATGTTTAACATGGTTAGATTTAACATGGTTCGATCAGAGTGATCTACATCCACGTGGAGAGAGGGAAAAATTCATTACAACATCGAACGATTACAGAGATTCAAGATTGTACACGAACGTAAATCTGCCTCTGAAAACCTTAATACAATTTTCTCCATATTTCCTCTTTTTTTCCCTCTCGTCTCGTCTCTCTCTTGATCTACGAATACAACGTGTTATCTAACCGACTCACTTCGAATGCTAACAAGATTCTATATATATATATATGTATACTAGCTTCACAGAATCTTTTGGAATGAGCTCCGCAGCTGCAGCTGCCTCTATTCACTTCCACCGATCATCTCTTGCCAGCTGATTAGGTCGGTTACATACTAACGGCATCCTTTAACAGATTTCAACCGCAATGGATGGCATCCTCATCTTTCGGTATTTGGTTTGCTATGAAACAAAGACTAATAGACTATACATACACATATATATACAAAATCTAGTCGAACATTTGATCTACAAAATGGATTATTACACTTGCTTCGTAAGTAGTTAAGAACACATAAACGAGACAATGATATCATCCCTTCTTGGGACATTCAATTTCTTCGGTCTTGGCGAACCTTCCACGTACCCTAGGTTGGCTGTCGGCAAGAGTCTTCCTGCAAGCATACTGAAATAGAAAAGAAAAATGAAAAACGTAAATATAAGCAGAACAACAACTAATTGAGTAGCATCAAAAGCTTATTGTACAATTTGTATCGTGAAATTATCTCGAGCAAAAGTAATTATAGAAAACAAACCTTGAGTTTTTTGCCGAAATTTCGCTTGGACTTCTTAATCCAGTATCTCGATAGCTTTTCCATGCGATCTTCAGAAGCGCAGATTCCCTATATTCGCGCGTCGGTAATGTCATGCACAAAAATGTGAGAAGATTTGGATAGAAAAAAAAATAATAATATTAAAAGAAAAATAGTAATAATAAAAATCGACCTTTATATCTCCTTCACTGAATGCTCGTCGCATCCCGTAAGCAGCTCCGAACTCCAAAGAAGGGAAATCTTGAAACGTTGGCCCTTGTGTAGTAGTAGTAATACTAGTAGTTTCGTGAACAAATTGATCCATTGACCTTGAATAAGTCAAGCTAATACTTTTCTGGAATATTCCAACGGCGGATGCAAGAATATTCTCGTCAACGGTGATGTTTTCGTCGTTCGATTTGTCAGTAGGGAGTTCGATACTGAAGACATCAGAGAGTGCGGTTTCGTTCCCTTCCTTGGCTAAAAGATCTTTCCTGCACTCGTAGAAAACCTCACTAAGGAGGTGTCCGCTCCTAATAGACGATTCAATATCTGAAATGGTTAAAGATTGTGGGGTGATGACATCATCTCCGCACGCAAGCATGGAAATTGCACCGGTCATTGGATCAACGCCAGCTAATGGTTCTCCGCCAAGATTAGCGGATGCCTATGAAGAAAAAAATCGGAAACAAAAATATTTTTAAAAACTCATGTATGTTTCCTTTCAGAACCAATCAAGTATTTCACGGGTATAACCTGAAAAAATAGGTCGAAATTTTGACATACGACGTTTGTCTCGTGTCTAAAGATGCCAGATAGAACATGAAACAGAACAATATTGCAGGAGCAGCATTTTCTGCTCATTTTCATGCATCGTCTTTTTCGAAGATTAATTAGAAAATAACAACTTCTAAAGGATAGCATAGTTTTAGCTATTCTCCCACTTTCCAAACTATAATCAGCATATCGCAGTTGTACGTATTCGACGTTACACTCGGCAAACTTTATATCTAGTTGTACATATTTACGTATCTAAAAACACGTTTTAGACACGTCCCCACGTATATGTGTGTAACTCTACCAATGTAGAATTGTAGAACCAACGAAGAAGTGGAAAATGAACTCATATCCTAAAAGTGCTTCCCGTTTATCAGTTTTGTTATACGCTACACTGTGTAAAAGTCAAAAGTCGTCAAATTATATCCTATCATACACGTGTATGGATTAACTTCTACACATATCCACATGTATGTGTGCGTGTTATTGTGTGCAAATCAAAAGTTAAAAAAAAAAAAAAAACTACCCGATGTATTTCGACCGGTGTACAAAAAAAAAAACGGAATCTTCCAAACAAAGAAACCAACTTCCCTTTTTATTCTTTAACCAAGTCAAGTTTTGCAGCAAACCCCGGAAAATGAAGTTGAGAATTTAAAAAAAAAAAAGGTATTCTTTAAAATGCCCACTGGAATATTTGAACAATAAAAACTTGTAATCTGAGAAATTGATGATAATAAGAAGACCAATACAAACGTCATTACATGTGCAGCTGAAAAAAGATTAAAAAAAAAAAAAAAATGCATTATGATTTGAACCAAAAGAAGAAATGGTGATAAAGATAAAATAAAGGAAGAGATATTTAGTTACCAATGAAGCGATGGGCATTAGTGAGAAGGAAGACTCGTCAAAGTGTTGAACTTGGTGAGATAAGTTTGCCAAGTATGGTGACGGTAACCCACTTTCTGCATACATTTTACTCCACTCCACTTCTAGAGAGAGAGAGAGAGAGAGTAGAGAGAGAGAGAGAGAGAGAAGTTTGAATTTTGTTTTCCCAAGTGTCAGAAGTAGCCCAAAAAAAAACAGAGCAGAAGCAGAAACAATGAGAAATGAAGAAGGGAGAAAGTTGAAGGGAATTTGGTTTTGGCTGGAATTTTATACCATCATAAATCTTTGGAATTGAAAATTTAATTCCAATTATGTTTAAAGAAATTACAAAATAAAAATCGAATATTGAAATTCCGAAAAAACTGGAATGAAAATACTTTTCGTTTTATTATTGGTCGATTTCTCTAGTCAATTTCTTGAACGATAGCCATTGAGATTTTTTTTTTGTCTCTTTTCAATTTAAAGAAAAGGTTTATTCTCAATTTTAAAATTGGAATTAAATTATTCAGCTTCGATATTATAATTCATTTCCATTTTTTACATTGCGATGTGCCAAAACCAAATGCATTCATATCAACAAGAATCAACAATTGCTTGCCCTTAATATTTAATCAAGAACTTTTATAACTAATAGTCCCAGTATGCTATTTGAATCGGGAGTTTACAGAGACACGATTGAAAAATTACAGATCCCTGCAGCATATTTTATTATTCAAACATATACATGTAAATATGTATAAAATTTATATTATTTCCATATTATATTTATTTTATTCGATGAAATTACCGAATATAAATAGAAGTAGACGTGTAGTAACCCTTGAAATGCAAGTACCATGTAAACAAGACAAATAAAAGGACAAAAAACTGAGAATAATGGTTCGATAGTGCATTCATTGTCATTTCTAAACATAAACAAAGTGACTTCCGAGTTATTTTCTTTTCGTATGGGACCCTTTTTCAATGCACTAACACGGACAGATAAATAGAGTTGACGCCTTAACGGGACTTGTTTGTAATAAACAAGAGAAGTGATGGAAGATAGAGTGGCAGCTAACGAACGAGAAGGACAAATGTCAGACTATTGGCCCCGGTAAACATAAATTCACAAAAAAACTTTCATTCTTGGTCTCTCGTTACTCGATCCAAAAGAAATATCCAAAAGTAATGCAAATTACCACAAAATAGTATCATTTAATTCGACAAAGTTTACGCGTCATATGGACACAAAAAAGAGGCAGCAGCAAAGTTAACCATGAAAACTCACAAGCAAAACCTCTTGTGGATGGGAAAATTGCAACTATCAAAATTCAAGCAAGAAGCAACTTAAGTGATCGACACTATCCAGTTTGTTTCCATCCACCAATGCATTTCATTAAGAATCCAGCTGGGCGGTCAATCCTCTAGTTAAACTTCGTTTTTGAAAAGTCCATTTCAGGATGCTGCAAAAAGCAAATTTATAAAAAATTTAATCAGTAAATAAGTTGAGAAAAGACGGATAAAAGGCAAAAAAAAATAAAAAAATTATAAGTTTCAGTATTTACCTCAGCCATGAACTTCTTCAATATTTCTTGCTTTTGCATCTCGTCACTGCTTGGAAGGCCCATTTGTTTCTGTCGCTGGTCAAACTGAGGAAGCCATTTCACATCACCAAGTACACATTTGACAGTTGAACAAAAGTGAACAATACAATTAACAACAATGGAATGATAAAAACAAACATCATATAGACACACAGAAAATTGTTGTCTCATAAGACAAAAAAAGGAGGAAAATTCAGGCTGTCTTTTTTGAACAATGCAAAGAATAGAAGAACGAGAGGGACCTTATCCAAGCAGCAGAAGCAACAACTTCGAAAAAAATGGGACTTTAATTCAACATGTTAAGTTCATTCGTCTTGGCTACATATTTGTACAAACAGAAAGCTGAAAACGATGTGACATTTAATACTCGGTACAAGTATGTCTTAACAGCCTTTTCAAGTCCGCTAGAAGTTTTGTATTATGGGGCAGAACTGCTAGGTACCAGTCAATAATTTATAGAAGATGCTCTTTGCCCAATAAAAAAATGGAATCAGTGTGAAATGATTCAGAGTATTTAAACTGTATTTGTACTAAAATTACATGAAAGCAGGGTAAGATAAGAGGGGAAACTCCGACACATAGTGTTTAATGCACCTCAGAAACTATCGAGCAACAACCTCACAAGTTGAATGAACATATTTTAATATTGGGTTGGCCATTAAAGCAGATAAAAGAAATCCACTGGATTGGTAAAAGCTTACCATCATTTTTTCCACAGTAGAACGTGTTTCAGGATCCAGGTCAGCCAATCGACTGTTTTCAGGTTCTACTTTCTGTGTATCAATCTCCGGCTCACCCTTCACCAAGTACTTCCACCATTCCATCTGGTTTTGTTTTGTCAGGAGAATGGAAATAGATTTTTGGTCCTCTGCAAGAAGCTTAATGTATTAGCTGGAGACATTTTTTTTTGGTTGCAAAAAAACATTCTTCAGTATCACTAAAGAAGTAGACAAATGTTTGCTGACAGACCAACACGCAGTCAAGTTTAATAGGGCTCAGTAATTCACCTATACTCCAGAAGCAGTCATCAACCTTAACAGATTCGAAGAGATCCCCCTGTAATTACGTAAAAAGCAATGAGTACTTGAACAAACAAAAATCGTGATTTCGCAATTACATCAAAATAATCTACTACTTCAACACATAATAATACAAAAATGTGAGTCACGTAACAGGAGGTCACACTCACATCAAGAACTGGTGGCTGACCCTTGAGCCCAACTTTAATACGATTCTTCTTTATTTCACATGTAACAAATCTGGACTTTGTTCCAGGAGGAACGGGAACAGTTATGTTGACCTCCTGTAGAGATTGAGCCCAAGAGTATGTATCCATATCAAGGCCATTGCCTTTGTTTGGAGCTGTTCAGAGAAAAATAAGCATCAATTTATTAGCAACTAAATCAATAATGTCGAGAGAGAGCTGAAAAGAACTGAACAATCCTAATGTCAAAATTATGTTAATATTATACATTCTCACAAAATAGTAAATACTCTTTGTATCATGTAAAAATAAAATTGCAATAATTCCGCATGTTCTGAAAATGATTAAAAAGAAAAAGAATCTAATTGATATGGAACCCAAAAAAATTTAAAAATCCATTTTCCTTCGGGTAATTTAAAAAATCACAGTGTCGAATAGCTAAAATTTCAGTTCAACTTCGAAATGGCAACGCTAACTGCACACCTCATAATGAAAACCATAACTGCACAGCTCTGGAGAAACAAAGCTTCAAAAGAAGACCTATACCAATTTTCAACTCTTAATAAACCTTTTTACAACCTTAAAATGAAAACAATCTTCAATCTGTCGTAACTCATAAACAATAAGTTATGTTCCAGTTTTTGTCCTAGAAACAATACATAACTCCAGATACCGAACTTCGTATAGTCTACCTTCAGTTCCTTCAGCTACCCAGACACTGAATTAGCACGATAACAAAATTCATATAACCTCAACTGGGAGGGGATTGGGAGACTGAATACCAACATTTACAATTCAGTGCAGCTACAGATGGAATTATTTCAAGTGAATCGTATGCGCGAATGAACTACAACGATAAGCTAATATAACTTCAATGATTCCATATCACACAAAAACAAATGTATGCACATATTACATAAACATCATACACGGTAAAACACATCGCATAGAAATGCTATCTCTAGAATTAAATAAAACGAAACACAACAATGCACGAAACTTGGCATAGAGGAAAGTAATGAACAAAAATTGGAAAAGAACAATTCTTCGGGGTTACCTCGACGCCCATTTTGCTCTTCTTCCACTCCACTCCCGCTTTCCTTCTCCTCCTCCTTGACAACTTCTTTTTTCACCTCCTCCTTTTTCACCGGAGGCGGCGCCACCGCCGCATTAATCTTCTTCTCTGCCGCAAGGTTTTCTTCAATTTTCACTTGTTTCATCTTCTTATCCTCCGCCTCCACTTTGTCCTTCACCATTCTCACCACCGCATTCACATCCTTCACCAAAGAATCGCTCTTGAACAGGTCGGTCTCCTTCGCGACGAATTCGAAAACCTTCTCCAGAAACCCTAACGGATCCGACGGATCGAGACCGACGCTGAACGGCTTCCGAGCCGGAGGAGCTGATGACGTCGGCTTCTTCTGGTCTTCTTCTTCGTACTCGGAGAGTATCGCCATTGCGTACTGATCGGAGATTGAAACTGGATTTTCGAGTTCTAGGGTTTTGAATTCTGATCAGACTTCAATTCTACGGGGTTTTGGAATTTTCGAGTGACAAAATTAGCAGCTCGGGAATATTCTAGAAGACCCTACTCTTGTGGAATGTTTGAGAAAGGCCCCCGAAGTTTCATAAACTTCTAAATGTAGTACAGTAATATTAATTGCATCGAGTGAAAAAAGTCGAGGTCAATTAGTATATTCAAATATAAACGTTTCCGTAATTTGAGCATACTTCAGGAGTAGCGTAATTTATCCTACGTTGTATATGTTGGGTATGTCAATATTTTGTATGTGCTAATTAGTGGTGATGTAATTATATATTATGCTTTTTATGCTAAAACACAATTCATTATATAAGCTAGGTTAATGAACTATAACAAAAAAAAAAAAAAAAAAAAAAAGTTGCTAGGTTAATGAACTATATTATGAATATTATAGATTTATACTTTAAATACAAGATTTTAGGCCTTTAAATATCTTTTCACTTCTTGATTCTTGAATTGTTTTGTAAACAAATAGTATCCAATTTGACGAAATGATGGTGCATAAAGTGATACTACCGTTCCTAATTAACTGTCGTTTTTTACCTTTTGCACATGTTTTATTTTTTTAATAAAGGTGTCTTGATTTTATGAAAATAGATGTTATCAGACTAAAATATCTTTATTTACTCATTAATACAGAAATAATGTTGAAGAGTTAATAATAGCATAACTGAAAAAATATTTAATTAGTGGAGTATTGCAATAATAAGGTGACAATAATATGGAATATGATGATTTATTTAAAGTGACTAGGGGTGTGCGCGGGTCGTAAACCCGCGGGTTCTAGCAAAACATGTCCTCGTCCCGTCAACTAACGGTTCTTGATTTTAAGGAATCAAACTTGTGGGTATTCGACGGGTTTAGGATACGGGTCTATTGTGGGTTTAAAGTTGAACTGCACCTTCACGGGTCGAAATCGGTCATAATTTTAAAAAAAATTCACTTTAAACAAACATAAATAACATCAATGATAAATGTCACGGGTAAATCAAAATTACTACGTTTTAACCATAAATCCAAAAAAGAGTAACTAAATTCAAACATTTATAAGACAAGATTTAAAATAAAATAGATAACCATAAATAAAACGAGACGATATCGTCGTTATAGATATAAGTTTTGACATGTAAGAGATACTTATGTATAATACATTATTAATTTATTATATTATATAATATACACAAAACGACGTTGTTTTGTATAGCGGGGCGGGACGAGTTTCACGAGTATTAATTTTTTTTAACCCGTCTTAGACCCAAACGCGCGGATCTTGTCCATTTCGGGATTGATATGCCTAATTGGGTCAACACAATGGACCTACAATTTCTTCACCTACTGGGCCACGAGCCCAATATTGAAGACTACTACTACCGAGACCCAATCACCTTCAAATAAGGTTTAAGCCTAACAATTTCAACTAATTAAACTTCATCCAATCAATGAAGTATAAATAAATGTACGTCCTATTATCTGAGCAATACTATCAACTGTATTTTCTGGACTATTTCCACTATCCGCACATCTGACTTGAGCGCCGGAGGGGTTTCCGTTGGATCAACCCCAGCTTAGTTCACGTGTTTTATGATCGCAAATATCTCAAGGTCATCAAGCTCGTGAGCCAGTGATCCACTTTGCTCTTTAAACTCATCATACTTCAATTCTCTAAGGCGATCTAACTCTAGCATCATCAAATACCCAATCCTATACATGCATTTAACCGTCCGGTCCTAGCGGGGCGATTTTTACAAATTTGACGGGTTAAATGCATGGGTTAATGGGTCCGACTTGCTCATCCCTAAAAGTAACATATAGTTGGAAATCAATCTCTCTTTTTTTTTTTCTTTTTTTATAATTATTCCACTCGAAACTTATATAAATTATTCATTATTATATTGACCAATGTTGAGAATGAATTAGCAAAACATGTTAATTAAATGGTCTCTTAGTTATTCTCGAAGAGCAAATTAAACAATAACAAATCTTCCCAGAAGGATATTTTCTGACCGGTTGCATTTGGTTTCTGCAATTCCAACTAATTATCCAGAAGCTTCCACATGTGACCTCTATATTGACTTTGTTCACATTGTTAAATAGTCCAATCATAAAAATTATGTCTGAAAGTCGGATGAATCGGATCGAAATTAACTTTTTTGAATTTGTTTTTCGAAAGTACAAAACTAATCACAATTTCAATTCAAAAAAAAATTGCAATCTAGAAATTCATTATAATTCTAAAAGATCTGGAAATTTTGGAATTTCGGAAGTCAAATAAGTTTTAATATTTTTCAAAAAAAATCGAAAACTTTCATAATTTTTCACAAAATAAGAAAATCTACTTTCATAAAATCATAAAACTAAAATTACTAATATGATAATCTTTAATATTTAAAAATAACTATAAGAATTCTCATTTAACTAACCGCTTAAACCCCAGAAATGATAAAGTCGAAACTAGATTCTTTTCTTTTACGTGAGTAATTATAACAAATGAAAGACTTTAATTCTCCAAATGGCCATAAGGTAAAATATGATTAAATAAATAATATATTTTACCTAAGGTAAAAAGATGATTAAAAATATAAATATTTACTCAAAAAAATTCAATATTTTTTGAATTAATTTCAGAAATTTAATCAGGCTGGGAATCGAAAATTGGAGTGAAAAAAATTGTTCCAAAATCGGAACTTTAATTTTCGGATCGGATCCAGCGGAAATTGAAAGTTTTGTTCCAACTTCCACCCCTAATAAAAACATTTATATTATACAGGTCTATTTTATTTTGTCTTATTTAATTTTGAAGTAAATATAATATCGAAATTATATAATTTATATGCAAGTTGCATATATTTTCACTATCAATGCACCTAAAAATTTTAGTATTTAAAAATCCCATTGACTTTATAATATAATGCTCCCCTCTAAGTCTTTACTCTAACCAATAAAAATAATATCCATTCAACAAATAAATTCACATCTCTGTGTATCTATATTTGATGAACGCTAGCTGACACTTGACAGCCAATCAAGAATACTCCTCTGGGAGGAAAAAGCTTAATTTTGATCCTAATTAAGGTAATTATTCATATATATATATATATATATATATATATATATATATATATTTTAATTTTGGGGCTCGAGAAATTAATTTCTGATTATTGCTATGCATGCATTTTTTGCATGATGATCAAAAACTTCAGTGATCAATTCTTATGAATATATATATATTTAGCTAAACTCCATTTTTTGACTTTTTGTAGGTTGTTGTGTTTGTCTATATATATAATTGATTTTCATATGATTTTGTGTATCTATGCTATCATACACGATAAAATAATCAGTTAAATATATATTTAATTATCCTAATTAACCTTAGCTTGTCTTTTTAATTTGATGATTCTCAAACAAGGTTAGCTAGCTGATGACTAAAACTAGTTATCTAAGAATTAATACTGCAAAATGTGAGTCAACTGATTTTTTTTTTCTCACCGGCGATTTGCTATTTTTATAAATTCCGAGGCTTTCTGACAACTGGCCGGTCAACGTACAAATCGATTATCAGGTCAACGTGCAAAACCGATTATCAGGTCAACTTGCGAAAAAATCAGATTCACACATAATCAAGCACAAGCAACAATGTCGTCGTCTAATGACGAGAAAGATATTTTCAGCGTCTCCGGACCAACATTTCTGACTGCTGTTGATTGGTAATAAGATCACCATCCTATTATTATATCTCTTTTCTCTATATATATATATGTATGTATATATATTTTTATATATATCACTACTAGAAAATCATGATTTGGCAACGGACGAATTCGTTGCTAAGAAGTAAAAATCCGTAACTAATCAAGATTTAGCAACAGATAATGATCGTCTCCAACGCCGTCGCTAAAAGGCGCGTCGCTAAATTTGGCGACGACGTGCGCAAATCCGTTGCTACATTTTAGCAATAGAATAAGCCGTTGCCGGATCCGTCGCTACTGTAGCAATAGAATGACTCGTCGCCAGATCCGTCGGTAATGTAGAAACTGAATGACCCATCGCCAAATCCGTCGCTACTTTAGATAGGATTAAATCGTATCTAAATCCGTCGCAAAAAATATTTTAACTATTAAAAAAAATATATATTTATTTTTATTTTGATACCTATTTAATATATATTGTATACCAAAAAAAAATAACAATTAGATATAAAAATTCAGCATACAATGTTACAAATTTGTATCACAGACTGTAGCAATACTGTTTTGAAAGCAATTTGAAACACTGTCAAAATTTAAAATACATCAATCCTATTCTATAAGTGCAACACACACCGTCTCTCCAGTCTCTCCAATCGACATATGCTTGTGGTTTACTTATACCACGTAGATGACATCCTGAATACTAGCTGCATAGTACACAAAAGTAGTCCAAGACAAGATAAATGTGATTAGCTAAATATTGACGCTAAGCTAAAAAGACAACTTGAAATCCTAATAAAACAAATTGTGTAAGAAAGTGAATATTTCATACCTGATACAACTTTTCCCTGCAAATGTAGCAACATAAACAATTGTCAAGGAGATAACAAAACAAAATTTCGAATTGAATAGTAAATCAAATCAAAATATTGACTTTAAAATAAAAAGACAACTTTGATCCTAATAAATAGTAAGGTAAAACATTTACCTTTAAATGTAGCACTTGTGCTTCACAACATCATCAAGAAAAACAACTGTTAAAAAGCCAAGAAAACAACTTGAGAAAATGAGCAGTGAATGAAATCTAATTTGAATCTCTATACTGACATCTAGCTAAAACATGTATGTAAAATAAATAGAAGCAAATATATACTCAGTTTACTATGCTATCATCACACCATTCTCTTTAAAAGACAAAAGAAAAGAAGTTATCAATTCAATTTTTTCTCTAACCTGGGAAAGCCTCATCAAACATGCTTACCATTACATATGTATAGAATTTGGAATTCTAGTACTACGCCTCTTATGATCTTCCCCTCTTCTCTATTGAGAACTCAATTCGGTTTCCTAAAAAATCATTAATGTGGATAAGTATTTTTAATAGTAAAAATAGCAGACTGCCTCGATATCATTTGCAAGCATAAAAGATAACATAAACGGAGGATAAGAGATGATGAGAAATCAATGGAGCAAAGAACATACTCTCTGAACTTTGTTTCCATCAAGCATCCTAATGCTTTCTTCGTTAATGGAGAAAAAATTGAGTTCTTTTACCCATCTATTAGATTATGTTTGTGAATTTATTTGAATTTCCTGCATCATGCTACAAGTCATCAAAAAGTTAACGAATGAAAGCCATGAGCCATCACAAACAAATTATTTTATACGTATCTAATCAGATTTCAAGAGGATTAATCAAAGTCAAGTTCATAAATAAATTTTGCACCTCTGAACAACACTTGAAATAATCGACACGCAAACAAAATAGCTGCAACACCTAACCATCTATAATTAGTAAGAGAACAGATACCCAAACTTTTATTTCTACTCAAATAATGGGAAGGAAACATATACAATAACAAAGCCAATAAAAATCCAAATTTTGTAGCAAAAAAAACATAAACAAACAAATCTATTATCATGTTCAAAAGATAATCGAATGAAAATTCAAATAACATTCGCCAATTCATTAATTTAACAAAAGCAAAACAATTTAAAGAATATATTATATGCACCCACGAACGAAAGAAATAATTCAAAACATATCAGATAAGCAGAGTAAAAAATCATATTTTAACCAGATCCCTGCAAAAATTGTTCTTTTGAAATATTAGAAGTTCAAGATCAATGAAGATTCGAAAGGGCAACCGAGCAAGTGCTAGCGTTTTCATAAGATAACTCAAAAATCGTAATTGACAGAGAACTATGGAGAAAAATATCGGAAGAAAATTAAGAATTGAAACTTACATTGACATTAGGGATTTGGAGCAAAACTCGTTCATTTCCACTGAAGAGAAAACCTTGTAAAAAGAAAGAGAAATATTGAGGAAAACTTAAGAATGAAATTTACCTTGAAATTACAGATTTGCTGCAGAAATCATTTTTCGACTGGACCACTCTCGACATATCGATATTCCTCGCAATACATTAATAAACTAATTGGGTTCCTTACCTCTTCCGAACACTCAGTACAAAAACTTCAACAGTTGGAAATCAGGACTTGGACATCGAATAAATCGAGAGAATCCTCCGTAAAAATTAGGGCTTCGGTTGTGGATTTTGCTTCCGCTGTTGTTTGGGGTTTGGACATTTTCCTTTATATTATACATCTTTCGGTATATTTATTAATATTTTATTATAAATCTAGTGCTGTTATTGTTATACATAAATATTTAAATATTACTATAACTTTAATTAAATAATTGATAAAAGAGTAAACACGTGTTACAGTTCGTTTTCTGCCTAATCATTTAGGTAAAAAATGATATACGTTTTTATACATATTATTTATTTCATCACTTTTAATAGTTAATTACAATATAATTATTAAAATAAATATATATAAATAATATTAATTAGAATAATAAAAAAAAAAGGAAAAAAAAAAAGAATAATAATTACATGATAACAGTACAAAATCCTCAATATTATATTTTAAATTTAAAAACAGCAATCTTAACTATCTATTTTAGCAACAGGTCCTTTAATCTATCTCTACATATGATGCTAATATTTATTTTTAGTAACAGGTTATTATCCATCACTAAATTATGTCGCTAAATAGGGTAAATTACAAACACCCCCCTGAGGTATGGTTAAATTACAAAAAAACCCCTCTTGTTTGGATAATTACATTTACCCCCCTCAACTATGATTTTTTCTTACCTTTATGGTGCCAAATTCAACATAGTCATCTAGATTCCGTGAAATGTGCTCTAGTTTGTACTCTTTGTGTAAAAAATACAGTTTTCGATGCACCACAAACTGATATGTACAAGCTAAAAATCACATATTATGGTCATCTTGCTTCATAATGTAAAGTTTGAATGGGATAAAACGGGTACAAAAGTGATAATATTCCATATAATCTCGAAGATTCCACTAAATTTGATGAGTTGAGGGGGGTGGTTGTAATTATCCAAACAAGAGGGGTGTTTTTGTAATTTGGTCATACCTCAGGGGGGTGTTTGTAATTTACCCCGCTAAATATTTATTTTAGCAACGGATTTATCATTCGTCTCTAATATCTGTTACTAGAACTGAAACTCCATAAGCGATGGGACGATTTTGTTTTACGTCGCTAATCCTATTGCTAATTACGTATTTAGCAACGTATTGTTTTGTTCGTTGCTAGTTGTCGTTGCTAAATCATGATTTTCTAGTAGTGTATGTTCCAACTAAGAATAATAATTCATAAGCGCTAGTTTTAGTTGGTTTCTTGTAAGCACAAGTCGTCTGTTATATGTATAGGCCTAATTAATAGGGGGCCATGGCCCCCACCGAAACGTGAAAAAAAAAAAATATTTTATATAGAGATCTGTTATTTTTCAAATTTGATAAGAGTGCGTACATATTAGAGGTCGCCTCTTTAACAAGATTAGTGTATATATATTTGGTAAAGATCGATAAAATCGTGGCTATTATTAATTCACAGGAACAATTCGCACCACAGACGATCAGTTGCCGCCAGCTTAGTTAAGGGAGTGTACACACTCGAACGTGACAGACGGTACCACCGTAAGGGCCCACATGCTCTAGCTCCGCCGTGGTGGGAATTCTTCAATTTCAAACTATTCAAACTTCTCGTGGACAACCACGACACCTCCTACTTCGGGGCAATTTACGAGTATGCCCCTCCATATCCACATCATCATCACATCAACTACTACGGCCAGAGGCCCCCACAATACGTGGTCGCCTTCCGTGGGACCATCAACATGCCCGGGAATAGGAAACAGGATTTCAAGCTCAACCTCCACGTCATCATCAACAACCTCAAACGGAGCACCCGTTTCCAAATCGGGCTAGAATCCGTCTGCGACATAATCAAACACGTCGGCCCGTCGTCAGGAAGCGTCTGGCTGGCCGGCCATTCGCTCGGGTCGTCCATTGCCTTGGTTCTCGGGAGGGAGATGGTGAAGCAGACGGGCGCCCATCTCGAAACCTACCTTTTCAACCCTCCGTTTATCTCTCCACCGGTCGGACGGATAACGAACGAGACGCTGAAGATAGGGTTACGGTTTGTGAATAGTGTCATCACCGCTGGCTTGGCTCTTGCTTTTAGAGTAGCCGGCGGTCGTCCGAGCTCCAGTAATGCTGACGATCAAGAACCCGATCAGTTTACCGTTTTGTCCTCGTGGGTGCCGTTTTTGTTTGTCAACCCGTTGGACCCGATTTGCTCCGAATACGCGGGCTATTTCAAGCACCGCGAGGATATGGAGTTGATTGGTGCGGGGAGAATCGCCAAGATTGCTACGAAGCATTCGATAGGCAGCATTTTGACGAGTTTTACGAGGAAGAAAGATTCTTCGGAAGCGTTGCATCTGATTCCTTCGGCTCATCTGACGATTAATTCGAGCCGGCTGCAGAGCTTTAAGGAGGCTCATGGGATTCAACAATGGTGGATGAGGGATTTCCAGTTTGAGTACAAATTATATCAATACAATTGAAATAATATATATTTGTTGCTCACTAATTTAATTTTGCAGACTTGATCACTTTTTGAACAAAGTATATGTATATGTTGTGTGTGTATCTTTCTTGATTTTTTTTTTTTTTTTATTTGGCTGGTGTTTGGTACCAATTGAAAGAATTCAATGTCACCGAATTCATGTAAATTAACATACAAATGATTTGATAAATGTTTGTGTGACGAAATGTTTTATATATACAAATGATCTAATATTCAAAAAAGACATGGAGAGAAGTAAAAATCTTGCCTTTTATGAAGAAATCGCAAATCGATTTCTTTGTACAATAATTGCTAGAATCGACGATGATCTATACCTATCAAAACTTTAGAAGTACATACTAGTATTAAATGACATTGAATGCAAACAGACTCAATTTTGTACAGAGAAAAATCAAACCGAAACAAATTGTTGATTAGTTTTTTTTTTTTTTTTCTTTTCCATCTATTATTATTCTGGGGTTTGTCTAGGGTGAGATACCCCATGTTCTAAACTTTTATGAGATATGCATTAATCACCATTAATTTTCTAAGATTAAATCTGGACCCTAGGAAAATAACATGGTTTATGTTCTAAAAGATGGAGTATTTTACCAAATTATCCTTCGATTATTTTTTTATTAAATTAATATAAAATTGATTAATATTGAATTGTCTAATTTACCCCTACTATATTTTAATTAAATAATTAATTTAAATTCATTGTGACCGAGTTTTATTTGATAAATAATCGAAAAAAATGCATTCATTAGGAATAGAACTTGTGACCTCTTAATACATTTATCACTCCTAACCATCCAAGCACATTAACTTATTATGATATATTTAACCATAATTGTATAAATACTGTTAATTCAAATATTAATTGCAACATTCATTATTTTTAAATGGTATTAAATAAATTATTAACAAATTTAATAAAATAAAGTTTGAAAACTATAAAGAATTGGAGTTCAATAGGCCAAACATCTATCATTAATTATATAATATTAGAAGTATTAATAAACTCCACCATTTAAAAAAGTAAAGAATGCTCAATTAAATATAAAAAAATGCATAACTTAATTCAAACTCATTTATGTTATTTAATCGATAGTGTGACAAATCCAAATAAAAAATAAAATAATATATTTATTTAGAAGAAGAAAGAATTATAACTCATTCCAATTAGTAGTTTTCTTAGTTTAAAATAAAATTATATATTACAAATACTATATTGTGAATTTTCTTTTAATATTTAATTTAATCAATTAGTAAGATTTGAATCGATGAAGTACAAATCCTTACAATTAGTAAACATTATTCAAATATTTGAATCGGTTGCTTAACTATTGACATAACATGTTACATAATTGATTTAACTATTTATAAGTAATGTCTAATATCTTTTTAATTCAATTTTGTCATAAAAAATAATAAATTTAATTCCTAACACATGTAAGAACCTAATCGTAAATCATAATATTTTATCAAAGCGTAATATTTGAACCAATTAAGCTCAAGTCCTTTCAATTCGTAAACATTATTCAAATATTTGAATCGATTCATTACCGCGCTCAACTATGACAAGAACGTCTTAATCAAATTAACTATTATTAATTAAAGTGTGATACATGTTTAATTCAATTTTATCATAAAAAAATAATTCCTAAATTACGCAAGAATCAAATCATAAGATTAATTAAAGCGTATGATTTGAATCAATTAAGCGCAAATCCTTTTAATTTGTAAATATTATTCAAAAATTTGAATCGATTAAGTTCAACCACTAACAAGAACGTATTAATCGAGTTAACTATTTATAATTAAAGTCTACTATCCTTTTAATTCAATTTTAACAACAAAATAATAATTTAATTCGTAAAATCGTAAGAATTAGATCGTAAATCGTAAGGTTTAATCTAACCATGAACCGATTAAATCCTACGATTTTTATGAATTAAATTTTATTACTTTTTCTGATAAATTCAATAAAAAAAGGTTACTAAACTTTAACTATACACAGATTGATTAATACGCTATTGTAAATTATTGAGTTTAACCAATTCAAATATTTGAATATTGTCTACAAATTGAAATGAAAACACATGAGTTTAATTGATTCAAATATTACGATATAATTAAATCTTACAATTTACGATTCAATTCAAACTTCAAATTCTTTCGAAATTCATTTTTAGATTACACGAGTTGAACAACATTTCCTTAGATTTTTAAATTATATTATATACATATTTGTTAGTATGGGATATTTTTAATATATAATAATAATAATTATATGAGAATTAATAATTTATTTAACATTATTTATATAAGTTTTATAACCATTATAAATTGTAGCTTTGTGATATATATCTGTATTGTTAGTTTATTGTCAATTATGTGTTGTGTCTTAATGGTAAGTATTCTTGTATGTTTTCAGATGGTCACAAGTTCGAATTTAGGTTGATGCAATTTTGGATGGGTGGTTTAATGATTTTTACGAATAATGATATAATTTACGTTATAGATTTTAATTCAGCAATAAATATATATTTAAAATTGCATTAAAATAGAGAGGGTAAAATTGACATTTCATTAATAATTTATAATTGCTGATTTTTTAAAATAATAATTGTAAAAAGGGTATTTGCGACAATACATAAATGGAGAAAAAATAGGTTTTTTTGGAGGGACACGTGTCGGAATTTAAAGGGGTATCTCACAAAAGTTTAGAACATGGGATCTCACCCTAGAAAGAACCTATTATTCTGGGATTGATAAAGACTAGACTTTTTAATTTTTATTACTATCATTTTGATATATTTGTGAAATATTGTTAGTGCACCAACTTTTACACTATAGATGGAACTTAAGTCATCAAATACTCAACTTCTAGCAACTTATAATGCAAAAGCCAAATCGCTCTTTCACTAGAAAGATCACTAAACCAAGTGCTCCTATAACTAAATGATGTGACCTCACATCAGAGGATTAATAATCATGCTAACCAAATGAATCAATAATTAAGTAACTACCTAGTAGTTAGCCTATTGGTTTGATTTTTAAAGTTCACTAAATTAAATTAGATAATCAGGATTAGATTTTGTTTCCCATAATTTATCAAATTAATCAATAAAACCTTTTTGATTACTCACTAAGCACTAAATCCCTGTGAGATTCAGTAGAATGGGCTGCAATTAAATAAAGACAAATAAATAATCATTTCGTGTTATATAAAAAATGGCTTGTCGGATGTTAACGAATTGGTCCACTACAAAACCGAGAAATCTTAAGTTTCGGAATCGAATTAATCCATCGAATTAGGCCTCGTTTGATTAAATTCTACTGACTAAATAGTAGTGATTAATTATATTGCATCAAAAGGGCGAAATCCTTCGCTCTCAGGGACCCCATCTCTTGGCCCGACAAATATTTGATGGAGGAATGTAAATCATGGTAACTCAATTGCCCGTTAAGGTAGCGAATCCGGACCTGGTGCCCACAAGGAACTAACCCTCATTGGAGTTGAAATTCGCACACTGCGGCTGTCAGGATTCGATCTTAGGACCTTGCACCAACTTACCACATTCGGAACCAGTTGAGCTACACCCATGCGGACTAGGGGCTAGTTACATGTTCATAGGGGGGGTGACTCAACAAGTAAAAAACTATTTTATCCTTCAAACTACATGTTGATTTTATTAAATAAAAAATATATGGATAAATCACAGATCATACCAGGATTTAATAGATTTAATACAAAATCTAATCTTACATACGAAACATTATATTAACTAAATAATTAACTAGTCAGTAAGAAATTAATCCAATCTCATATAATCTACACTTATCCGATATAAATAACCGTACGTACGAGGCCTTAATCGTTAAGAACACCCTAAACAAACAGTCACAGCCTAAAAGATGATAAATAGTAGAGGAATCCTTACAAATAAAGGATGACCAAACAAATCAACATCAGCAGCAGAAAGAAGAAGAATCCAATTCTTTTAGATAGGAATACCACTCAACACTAACATTTATTGAAGTTTCTTAACACATTTAAGAACAGTTGCCTATAAATTGAAGGAGCCCAAGTACAACTTTTACAAGCCCTAATTAGCATTTTAAGATTCATTTTATACGATTTTGCTGATGCTACATTCGATGAAATACACGTATAACTCTACGATTTAAAATCACCCAAGTACTTCATCAGATGTAGCGTCTCGTAGGCCATTTTATGCTTTTTCTTCTAATAATTAGAAGAAGAAAGTCAACGCTAAAGAAAGAAACAAAATCACCCATACTTTATAATATATATTGAGCTGCTCTTCAGTCGTAATTGTTCCCAACTTGAGTCCAGCTAGTCCCATACACTGCTTGACACCGACTTCACACCAACCGATTTTATTTTAATATTTTTATTGCATTGTTTTTTTTAATTTTTTATTTAACCGAATCGAGTCATGTTGAGTAATATGATTTGCAAACTATTTAACGAGAGAAAATAAATACACATAAATGTGTTCTTTTTTTCTAAAAAAAGGGACTAAAGAACTGTCCATATACATGTCATAATCAATTTATTTTGGTTTGTAATTTTGTTTCTGTAATTTATAATTTTATTCCTTTATTAGTACTTTTTTTTATCAATACCTTTGTTACTAATTAATTCCAGCATATGATGTCACAGCTAATAATTAAGTAATTAAACTAAAAAAAGATTTTCATTGGTGAAACTAAATATATATATAAATGAAAATTGGTCTATTTAGTTTGGTATTTTTCTTATATCATCTCAAGACAAAAAGATCCTACTGTACTTAGAATCTCACTCCTATTAATTATGAGCTGCATCCACTCATTATACACTCATTATTCAACATCAGGAAAAAAAAAAAAAAAAACTAAAAAGAGAGAGAAATTACACAGTCATCCACCGCCATAGTATATACTTACACAAAAACATGTATATATAATAAATTAAATAAATTTATCAAAAAATATATATAAAAAATAAATAAACATAAATCATCCCACATGTAAAGCCTACTCTTCAATTGTCCATAGCTAGACAAGCAAACCATATTTTTCTCCACTCAGCTTCTTTTGTTTTCTTCTCTCTCTCTCTATATCAAATGGACTATGGCAGGCTCGGAAAACCCGAGCCTGGTGGCTATTCGACCGGAGCTCAAACCACCGAACCAAACTCCACGCCAAATAAAAAATCTAAACTTAAGATTCTAATCATCGCAGCCGCCACACTCATGGTGGCGTCCGCCATCTCCACCGCGGCTGTGGTGGTCATCCGAAACAGAGTGAATTCCGGCGGCGGAGCGGCCGGGATGAACGATCGACGGCCGTCAAAAGCCATGTCCAGAGCATGTAGCCGCACTCGGTACCCAACTCTCTGTGTCAACTCGCTACTCGACTTCCCCGGCGCACTCGCCGCCTCCGACAAAGACCTCGTCCACATTTCCGTCAACATGACTCTCCAGAAAATCGGCCGCGCTCTCAGCTTCGCCGCCGAGATCAACAATCTCGATATGGATCCTCATGTCAGGTTAATTCGTCTGACCTAATTAATTGCAAACTTTTCATTTACCCCCAAATTACAATTTAATTTTCAAACAATTTTATTTCAATTTAATTTAACTGATCGATTAGGTCGGCGTACGATGACTGTCTGGAGCTTCTCGACCACTCGGTGGATCAATTCTCTCGGTCGCTCACCTCAGTCGCGCCCGGCGGAGAACCGGCCGGGTCGACTCAGGACGTGATAACCTGGCTCAGCGCCGCGTTAACGAACCAGGACACCTGCACCGAGGGCTTCGACGAATTGAACGGCGACGTGAAGAATCAAATGTCCCACCGGCTGAAGGATTTGTCCGAGCTAGTGAGCAATTCCCTCGCAATATACGCCGCCGCAGACGGCGGCGGCGACGATTTCTCCAATATTCCGATACAGAACCGGCGGTTGCTGACGAGCAGCAGCAGACGAAGAGAGCACGAGCATCAGTTTCCGATGTTCCTATCCAAGAGAGAACGGCGGCTACTGGATATGCCGGTGACGGCAATCAATGCCGATATAATCGTGTCGAAGGACGGTAACGGAACGTACAAAACGATCGCGGAGGCGATCAAGAAGGCGCCGGAGCACAGTAACCGGCGGTTCATCATCTACGTGAGGGCAGGAAGGTAAATTCGCATCTAGTTTGAAAAAAAGTTTGGAAGAATCCTAACTCCTACTCTTCCTTTTTCGGTTGGTCAGCTTTTTTTTTTTACTGCCTTTTCACATAATTAGTTAAATGACTAATATGCCCCTGTCATTATGTTTTCGTAATTACATGACAAAGTGGGTAATTACTATTTTCGTGCTTTGATTGGAACGTTGAATTCAATCCAATCATGATTTTTAACATTAATAATCATGATTATACATTAAATAACTATTTTTATGATACCATTATTAGTTATACAATCTTAGATTTCGTTGACACTATTTAAATGCCGTTGAATTAATATAATTTACATTTCTTTATAAAAAATTTGTCGGGCCATGGAATTGGGTCCTAGGGCGAGGGATTTCGCATTTTTTATGGAAAAAAACCTGTACTTTGATCCGTACGATTATGATAAAATAACTTATTTGAAATATCTTAATATTTATATGATTTTTGATGTATAAATAATGATAAAACATAAATTTTAATTGAAAAAGAAAAGTTTGTAATGCTTGTTATGTATGTATTGTTACAGGTATGAGGAGAATAAATTGAAAGTGGGAAGGAAGAAGACTAATATAATGTTCATTGGAGATGGTAAGGGCAAGACGGTCATTTCAGGTGGAAAAAGTGTTCAAGATAAGTTGACAACCTTCCATACGGCATCTTTTGGTAAAATTCGTTCCACTTTTGGCCTTTTCCGCTTCCTTTTTTCACTATTCTACTTTTCTCCCCCATTAGTCTATTTATTCTTATTTGGCCCCGAAAACGATGGGAGTTTGGCGTTTACATCCCATCGAACATGCACGTGGCTATCAAACAGACATGTCTGGGGCAGGGCTTTTGAGATCCTACACCGGGTGAAATACACCGGGTAGATCTTTACCATTAATATACACACAAACACACACACACCCACATTGGTGTGTGTAGATCAACGGTGAAAAATCACCCGATGTAACCTTCACCGGGTGTAGGATAGATAAAACCCTGGGGCAGGCACTTCCACTTTCATTTTGTGTTTATATTCTTAAAACATTTAAGTGTACAGTTTTGCCTTTGGAGAAGCATTTTTCATTAAAGTTATTGCCAAAAATTAGTTCATATCTATTTAGACACGTGTCATACATTATTGGATCATTTTCTGTAATTTTTGAAAAATTGCAATGTTATTTTAGTAAAATTTAAAAGGGTAAATAAATAACGAAAACTACCCCATCTATTCGTAATTATTAAAAAACTCTTTGAAATTTGTGTTCGTCTTACACCAATCCCTTACAGCGTGACAGTTCACGGATTTTTTTTCGTAATTTACCCAATATAAAATAGTAAATTGATTGAGGTCTTTATTATAATACAGCTGCAACTGGGGCGGGTTTCATCGCTAGGGATATAACATTCGAGAACTGGGCCGGAGCAAGCAAGCACCAGGCGGTGGCGCTCCGCGTCGGCGCCGACCACGCGGTGGTGTACCGGTGCAACATCATCGGCTACCAGGACACTCTCTACACGCACTCCCAGCGGCAGTTCTACCGCGACTGCGACATCTACGGCACGGTGGACTTCATCTTCGGCAACGCCGCCGTCGTCTTCCAGAACTGCAGCATCCACGCGCGGAAGCCGATGCCGCTCCAGAAGAACACCATCACCGCGCAGAACCGGAAGGATCCGAACCAGAACACCGGGATCTCGATCCACGCCTGCAGGATCGTGGCGGAGCCGGATCTGGAGGCGGCGAGGGGGGATTTTCCGACGTATTTGGGGCGGCCGTGGAAGCTGTACTCGCGGACGGTGTACATGCTGTCAGATCTGGGCGGCCACGTGGACCCCAGGGGGTGGCTGGAGTGGAACGACACGTTTGCGCTGGACACGTTGTACTATGGGGAGTACATGAACTATGGGCCAGGGGCGGAGCTGGGGCGGCGCGTGAAATGGCCTGGGTATCGTGTGATCAATTCCACGGAGGAGGCCGACCAGTTCACGGTGGCGAAGTTCATTTACGGGTCGTCGTGGTTGCCCTCCACCGGTGTGGCTTTTTTGGCCGGACTCTCAACTACTTAATAATAAAAAAATAATAAATAATAAAAATAAATAATAATAAATAATAATAATAATAAATAATAATAATTCTTTTTGGATTGTCTTTCACAGTTCATATTAGGGCTGGGCAAAAATTACCAAATACCGATTACCACGGTATACCTACCAACAATTACCGAATAAATACCGAACTATCGGTTACCACTACATTTGGTACGGTATCGGTACCGTACCATTATCTTACGGTACGGTAGCGGTATTGTATCTTCAATACCATGGTAATACCGTACCGTACCGTAACTTTGTATTTTAAAAATTAGTTAATATATTTTACCCTTTATATTGTAAATATAAAAAATATAGTCAACAAATATTATAAAATAAAAATAAAAAACAAGAATAAAGATATGATACATCCTATATATATTATATATACATAATTCTATTTTTTTATTATTTTTATATATTTATGCAAACTCAATATTTAATTTGGTTCTCGTTAAAGTTGTATATTTCACGTACTTCTTTAGTTTCAAAGTCCAACTAATCTCTTATTGGTGGAATATTTTTTGCCATAATTTTCTTCTCCCTTTCTTTCCCCCCCTAAGTTCTCACCCTTTTGTTTCATTTGCATTATTACAACATAATTTTATTTATTTATCTTACTTAAACCATGAAACTTTTTGCTCATTAGTTTCTATAATTTTTCTATACATATCTTAGTAATCATTAGTTAATTGAAGCAACATACGCTATTACGGTCGTATAATGTATATTCATGTAAATTGTTTGATTACCATATTCATTTGCTTAATTTGTTGTATGTATGCATTTAATTAGTATTCATCTTAATTATTGTATCATCCGAGTTCATCAACAAAATGATGTACGGTAGATTACCACGTACCGATCATACCGTACCGAAACTAACGGTATACCGAATAACGGTATACCGCAATTGTTGGTACGGTAACGGTATAGAATTTTTCAATACCGAAAGATACGGTAGGTACACGGTATTGAACAAATGTTCGGTAACCGTACCGAAACCACCCCTAGTTCATATGGTCATGCATACGGATACGGCCAAATACTTGAAATAATTTGACTATTTGACTCAAAAAGTTAAGTGATATAGGTTTAAGATTTGTCAATTTGTTTATATTTCCATTATGTATTAACATAATGCACTGAAATTGAAATTAATATTTGGACTTCCCCATACTTTGTTTGTTGACTTTTCCAATTGGTGCATTATTGTGTTTGACAATTATAATAGAATTTCAATAAATTAATACTCGATATATATTTATAACTTCATTTGAATACGACATTTTTTTGGTTCCAATTTAAGGACAATGTGTTAAAAAATATATCATCAACTTAAAATTTCACTAAATTAATGAATTTGACTAATCTCGATTGTATTAATTTAAAAATGTTAACTATATAGGAATCACAAGCTAACATGTGTATCTGTCGGTGAGTCTAGTTTGTTCAATGCTGCATCTCGTAAATTTCATTCACTTATGATACTGAATAAAAAAATAAAAAGAAAGAAAGAAGAAAAATGAATATATATATATATATATATATATATATATATATATATATATATATATATATATATATATGATTGTGCATAAACAAAATTAAAAAAATACAAGATGTATTTCACCATCTTAGGACATTAAATACTTGCGACAAAGTTTGAAGTAGACCAACTAATCATATGTGCAATGAATGAATGAGTGGCCATGTGAATGAATAGAAACAGCTTGATGTAACATGCCACACCATCTACCTCTTTATACTCTTAAATCTTGGAATAAATAAATAATAATAATAATAATAAATAAATAAATACATTACCTCTGGAATTTTGATTTGAAAGTTAAGATTGAGCCCCCGAAATATTTCCATGTTCTTGAAAGTTGAAATAACAACTTCACCTCAACATTTTAACAAAAAAAACAAAACTTTAATTTACAAGGTCCTCTGTATAAACTCCCACATCCTCTCCTCCATGTACATACGATCCCTATGCTGACGTGGCATGTGCCTCTCGTCCGGAAATATCAACAGCTCGTAACTCTTCCGGGCCGCCACAAGCGCGTTCACTAGTCGGGCCGTGTGCCTAAAATGCACGTTCTCGTCAATCATACCGTGCACCAACAACAGCTGTCCCTTCATGCTGTCCACATGGCGCATCACACAACTCTCCAAATAGCCCGGCCCGTTTTCCAAAGGCAAGCCCATGTACTTCTCCGTGTAGAAAGTATCGTACCCATCCCATGATGTCACCGGAGCTCCAGAAACCGCGCAATTGAAAACTTCCGGAAATCTCGCCAGCATCATTGCCGACAAGTATCCGCCGTAACTCCACCCGTACAACCCGACGTGGCCTGGTTTGGCTAAACCATGGTTTATCAGCCACTCAACTCCGGTTAGTTGATCCTCTGCATCGATCTGCCCGCATTTGTACTTGAGTGCACCTTCGAACTCGAGCCCACGTCGTGCGGTTCCTCTGTTATCCATCTGTGAAAGGAAAACGAGTTGATCGGTATTTATATAAAAAATCGAAGCTTTTTAGAATCGAAACGGGATTTTAATCGAACCTTCCAAACTAATATGCCTTTACTTCTGAGATATTGCGCTCTCATGTCAACTGAGTTTATCCAAGAATCGGACACTAGTTGTACACTTGGACCACCGTACACATGAACCATTGTCTTGTACGGTGGCGGTCCGAATCTTGCAGCATCAGGTTTATATATTGCTCCGTACAATGTAGTTATTCCATCTTTTGCGTCTACCTTAATTATTTCTGGAGATTCGAGTTGGAGTTTCTTGAATCTGGGAATGCACAATGGCTGCTCGTAAAAAGATGCAATCAATCTTCCGTCGAGCAAAGAGTTTACGGTCAATTTGGGAGGCGAATCCAACGAATCGTGGATATCTACAAACCTCTGCAACTGATGATCAAGTACAACCACGTGTTTCCCCTTCCCATTGGTCAACCTCCTTGGAGCCTGTAATGAATGGCCCACATTTACAAATAAGTCGGTGCAGTAAAGATGAGATTCTAATGGACCATCTAAAGTTCCGGTAAAATATATAATGCCAGAAGCCTCGTTTACGCCAGTAACTTGCTCGACCATCCAATCACCTTCAGTGATGGGTCCCACACAAACTCCGTTTACATCGTGAAGATATAAATGCCTGTATCCAGTTTTCTCACTAGCCCAGATAAATCCGGCGCACGATCTATTCGGTAGTTTATCTAACGGAGTGAAGCAACTGTGAAGATTGATCCACGTTTCGTTCTCTTCTTCCAAGATGACTTTTCGGTGGCCAGTTTTGATGTTGAACCTGAGAATCTTTAGTTTAGAATGTTTTCTGTTGAGGACCTGAGCTGTGAGAATATTCCCGTGCATCCAATTGACCCTCGCCAAATATTCTTCGTCTTCTTCGTCACCGCAGAGAAGATTCATCCAACTAACGGGTCCTCCAGTGGCTGAAATAACCCCCAAACGAACTTTTACATTTGAACTACCGGCAAAAGGGTACGCATGGTCTTCCTGTGCGTCTGACCCCACTGAATCTTTGCCTTGATGCATGATCCTAAAGAGAGGTATCTCAGATGAGTCAACTTCGGTGAATGCGATATATTTGCTGTCGAGTGACCACCAGTACCCATTCTTCCGATCCATTTCCTCCTACAGACAAAAACGTATTTAGCATTGTTCAGTTGAGAAATCGAATCACGTGTTAGTTGGTAAATTGTATTGGGATTTGGGATAGGCAGCTAATCTCTTTCAGACGGTGTAACAGAAGGAAATGTAAATCGGAACAAATATCGTAACACTAACCGCACCTGCGCTATGTACTCAGCAAGGCCGTGTGTCTGAAAAAAGCAACAGAAGAAATCAATCACTTGTAGGCCGTGTTCTTTACACACGGCATAACGCAACTAAGTTCTTTACAGAAATATAAATCTAGCATACGAAGAAATGCTTACTACAGAATTCTCATCTGCACCGAAAGTCAACTGCTTTGACTTGTTGTGCAGAAGGTTTAACACGTGCAGTTCATTATTCATCACATAAGCAAGCATGGTCCCATCTGGAGAGGCGTGCGGGTCTATAATCGGCGACGAAGAAGCACTTGCAAGTTTAAGCTCTGGCTCAACACCAATATCCTGAATATATATCTGCCACACGAACCAATCATACGTTCTTATACATCAAAAACTTATTTAGACAATTACAAACGAAACAAATGAATTGTTCGTAAACGTACCCCAGCTGGTAAAAGTAGCATGATTCTCTTTCTCTTCGAGCTCATATTCACCCATTCGTAACGTGTTACCCCGAGTCCACGCTCCCTCGACCTCTCCCTCCTCAACTTCTCTTCGGCAGACAAATTATTCTCATCGAGCCCACCGTCTGGTGGGCTGAAAAGCAATTCATGCTTACCGATTTTCAGATCGAATATAAACACTTTCCTATACAGCGTCTGATCGGGACTAAACAAGTACGCAATCAAACTATCGTCGGGGCTAAAGCTAATCGAAGTTGGCACACCGTAACCTGGTAACGGGTACTGCACTATCTCTTCCACTGCGAATATAGTGCCGCTATCGGTTACAGGCATCTCGTCTTGAATCGATCTCTGACGTTTCAAACTCGGTTTCTTCTTCGACTTACTCTTGTTATGCGATGATTGCATTTAGAGATATAATATAATAATAATGTTGAATATTTTATGAACCAATGCTAACATACTGAATAAATCTGCAACAAAATTCAAAATTGGAGAACGTAAATTAAAACATCTAACCATTGATACCAGTACTTCAGAACTTACAAGCATCATATATACATACATATATATACATACACATATGAAATATATATGCGATCTCTGACGTTTCAATCTCAGCTTCTTCTTCGACTTACTCTTGTCATGCGATGATTGCATTTAGAGATATAATATAATAATAATGTTGAATATTTTATGAAGCAATGCTAACATACTGAATAAATCTGCAAGAAAATTCAAAATTGGAGAACGTAAATTGAAACATCTAACCATTGATACCAGTACTTCAGAACTTACAAGCATCATATATACGTACATATACATACATACATACACATGAAATATATATATTCAACATTACAGACAAAATTCAACAGAAAAATCCGACGAAAAATTATCAACAATCAGCGAGATTCAGTACACTTATGAATAACGATAATTACGCGGTAATTAAGCAATAATTGTAAAATTAATAGAATTATGAACAGCAAAAATGAATCAGAATTTCCAATCTGACCTGGATTTGATGATCAGACAATGAAGAGAATCATCGGATTGAGGTAGAATATTCGGTTCAGATTCCTCTTCATAATCAGAGGATCAATTCAAGATTTTGAAGGATTATAATGGGAAGTTATAATCGGATTTATGTTTATCAGAGAACCGATTCCAGTATCTCTGTAGAAGGTCCTTAACTTTTAGGGGCAGTGAGGCGCGTATCTGCACATTCTTTGTAAGGGCGCGTGCGGTTTTTCAATTTTGTAGTTAAATAGGCAGATTAAATGGAATTCTTTTGAAATTGTTAAATATTGTATCAATTATTATTGTGAAAATTACCCAAAATAATAATAATATTACTTTTTGAGCAATACATTTTTTTAAAGTGGAAAAGAAGTGTACTTGTAATAATAATAATATAAAGTGAGGGGCATTACAGACGTATCGAATTAAGTTAAGCGAAACTTAAAGCACTAGTAGAAAATTTGTTTTTTACTACGAAATTTTTCGTTACAGTCAAAACCTGTAACAAAAGAGACTTTTTACTACGGGACACTTTTGAAGTGGTAGTAAATATTAGGATTTACCGTAGCAAAAAATTATTTGGTACGGCCATTTAGCGTAGCAAAGTTTTTGTCAAGCTCGTATATATTACGGGGCAAATTCACAGCAAATGCGTAGCAAAAGTTTTTTTACTACGAATTTGATACCTTTTGACACGATTAATAGTCGTAGAAGTATAAAGACATTTTTCTACTAGTGAAAGGGGAAGCGCAGTGTCCAAAATAAATATACTATTGAGGACTGTCTAATATATGGTGGTTATATGCGCAGGCGCCATTTTGGCGAACATACACTTTTTTACCATAAGTTTTTACCTTTTTACTTTAAGTTTTTACCATTTTACATTTTTTTTCCCAAATCCTATAATCCTTTAAAAATCGAATTTCAACATTCCTTGCAAAAAAATTAGATATTCAACAATTTCTAAAATGGATCCAACAAATTTAGACCCGGAGGTAATATTTTCGTTTTTTCTCAAATCTTCAAGTACTCGTGTGATATTACGCGAGCACATGCCATGTGCTCGCGTAGTATCACACGAGTACTTGATTTTTTTTTTCTCGTGCTCATGTGATTTTATACGAGCACATGGCATGTGCTCGTGTAATATCACACGAGAAGATGAATATGTATATATTTATATTTTTTTTGTTCGTGTTATTTTACGCGAGCACCTTCTCAGTGCTCGTGTAAAATCACGCGAGACCTGAGTCGGTGCTCGTGTAAAATCACGCGAGCAGAATTGTTGTTTTTTTTATTTTTAAATAATAAATATTTTGCTTACTTTATTTATTTGAAAACAGGAAGTATACATAAATGCTGATGAAGATACGGAAACATTCGAGTTACAAGATTTTTACGCTGATCGACTAGCTTTGTGGACGACGTTAAGTACTAGGCATAGGTAGATTTGGCGTATTTTCTTGTGTTTTTGTATGTCGAACTTTGTTATTGTATTTGGATGTTGAACTTATCTATGGTATTTGGGTGTTGAACTTTGTTATTGTATTTGAATGTTGAACTTTGTTATTTGGGTTGTTTTTTTATATTTTGTAAAATCAAAAAAAAAAAAAAAAGTATATATACGTCTACTCGCGTGATTTCACGCGAACAGGGATGTTTTACTCGCATGATTGCACGCGAGCAAAACACCCCTGTTCGCGTGAAATCACGCGAGTAGATTTATTAAAAAAAATTTGAAAAAAAACTTACTCGCGTGATTTCACTCGAACAGAGATGTTTTGCTCGCGTGAAATCACGCGAGCAAAACATCTTTGTTCGCGTGAAATCACACGAGTAAGTTTTTTTAAAAATTAATAATAAATTAAATCGGAAAAAAAAATGTACTCGCGTTGTTTTACGCGAACAGGGAGCTTTTGCTCGCGTAAAATTACACGAGTACATGGTCTCTGTTCGCGTAAAACAACGCGAGTACAATTTTTTTTTGTTTTTTTTTATTCCGATTTAATTTATTCAACATATTTAAAATACAAAATAGAAAATAAAGTAATTTTATGACACAATAAAAATAGAAAATCGAATAATCGTTCCAAACACAATCAAAATAGAAAATTGAGTAATCGTTCAAATCAGTAACAATCATCCTAGTACAAAACCAATGAAAATAGAAAACAGTAGTCAAAATGAAATACAACTGAGTACGAACATGACCGACTTGAAGATTATTAGAAGGCCCGACTCCGGCTGCAGTAGCTTCTTCCCTCGCTCTCTTTGCTTCTTCTATTGCCGTCGCTTTCGTTCTACGATCGGATGCAAGAATTCCCCGATCTCCAATACGATCCGGATCATCCGGATTGTTCGACTTCCGACCCAAGGCTTTCATTAAACTCTTACCTTTTCCCGTAACTTGACTCATTAAACTTTCCCCTCTACCTCCAGCCATCTACAATTTAACAAAAAAACTTAATTAGTATTTAATTTAAAAAAAATTGAAAAAAATTAAAAAATAAATTAAAAAAATAAATAAAGTTACTCGTGTGAAAACTTGCGAGGAGACCAATTTTACTAGCGTGCAGGCACGCGAGTAAAATAGATCTCCTCGCGTGTTTTCACACGAGTAACCAAAAAAAAAAAAAAAAAAAAATTAAGCTCGTGTGATTTTACACGAGCTCGATGAACTGAGCTCGCGTGGTTTCACACGAGCACAAACTCCCTGTTCGCATAATAACACACGAACTCAAATTTTTTTAATTTTTTTCAATAAAAAACATACAAATTTAAATAAAAATAAAATAAAAATTACATTCATCTACTCGTGTGGTTCTACACGAGTAACTCCACTGTACTCGTGTAGAATCACACGAGTAAAACAAAATGCTTTGTTTTAAAAAAAAATCAATAATCGTAATCTACGTAACGAAACAATCAAAAAAATGTAAGAATTACCTCCGATCTGTTATCGTCTCGGTCGGGATCTGAAATCGAAGTTCGAAAGCTTGAGAGAGTTTTTGTGGAAATTTACCTTTTGATTTTTCAAGAATGGTAAAAAAAGTGCCTGCACGATTAAATGGTGCCTGCACAAATCATTTCAGCTAATATATGATGCTACTAACCAAAATGAATTTACGAGTTAAACAACCCAAATTATTTTTTGATGAAGTGAAAAGATAAATTAGAAAATACATATATTGAGGTGGAACTCATTAATTACATTGCTAGCTACTTAGAAGCTACATCTATTTATTTACACCACGTGTTATTAATCGTAGATCTACATATTCACACACACACATCTAATATATATATATATATATATATTTAGTGTATAGTTATTTAATGAAATAACTATACACTCGATGCAACATGTTAACTTGGTGTTTTGGTTCATATTTCTCGTTCAGTTTGCAGATTATTTTAATTTGCACGATGAGTGAATGGTTATTGTAGATATATTAAAAATAATTGATACTAATTAAAAATGATAAAAAAGAAATGAAAGAAAAAAGAAAAATCTTATTGATTTACAGACTCCAAACATAACGATTTTACAGCCTCCAAACATAACGATTTTACAGCCTTGTGCTTCACTCCTGTCATTACAATTTTTTCCGATCATATATATATATATATATATATATATATATATATATATATATATATATATATATATATACAACTAGTCTTCAACTTCGGAATGTACCTCAAAACTAGGAAATACTTGTCCTAGATCCCTGGAAAAACAAAAATAAATAAATAAAAATAGTAAAAAGAAAAATAATAATAGTATATTTTAGTCGATGATCGATCATCGGATAATTTAACAGATAATGTAGTATGTGAATAAGGCCAGTCGAAAACTCAGAAGAATAGTTTATAAGTGATGTATAAAGAAAGTGGGATTTATATATATC